TTTTCCAAGAATTGGTGATGAGCCATTTGATTTCGATTACAAATTGATTGCAGAATATATGATTGATGAGACCTATCAAAAATTGAAAACTTCAGTTCATTATCCATTAATCGTTTCATACGTTCTACTACCAGAACAACACGATGCCTATGGTGCATTTGCTGATCCACTCGAGACAATATGAATCATTGAAGATAAACCAACTAGTGTTTCTTTCGATAAGCAAAATATGGAAATAAAAAGAAGTCAGTGAATATTTATTGTCTTATTGTGTGTATTTCAGTAGTGAGAATTAAATTGACTAGTTTCAACAATAATCAATTGATTGAATATCAAAATAAAATAAAACAATTGGCTCAGTCATATTCATTTAAACTTCATCTAACTGATAAAACTGATTTGGCTGATTGGTCCCAAGAAAACATTCAGAAATACTATGATTATTGTTTACAAAGACGAGTCATACCAACAATCGATATTTAAAATTCAATTTTGGACTTGATAGGTCCTAAAGATGTGGTGCGCTACTTTATTACGAGAAATCAAAAATGCTTATTGTAAATCTTTTCAGAGGGAGTTTACTTGAGTCTTAGATGAAAACCTGGGTTGCCTTAGATTTCACCTAATGTATGTATTTTATTTGTCTGATTAATTGACTTAGAAAAAAAAAGAAGAACCAATTAAACACGAAATGTTACAAACACAGATCATATCAATTAAAGAAAATAGTTAAAGAAATACATGTTGTCTGATAAAACGCTCAGTTAATCCTAAATAGACTGGATATAAATTTTTGAGTCGTTATTATATTCTATAGTTGTTCTAATAAATTTTCATCAAATAATTCACTGAGATGAAAAAATTGACTATTGCTTACACAATATTTTATAACCGTTAATTACCTTGTATTTTTNTGTATTTTTATTCGTTAATTTGGGTAAATGGGGTCGAGAAGTATTTTCTTCAATTAACCGCTGAAATTTTACGAAATGCAGATATCCCAATTTTCTCACATGGCTATATGTGGTCCGTTGAAATATCATCCGGTAAATGAAAACCATATTCATATAGAATACATAAAATTATTGAGAATGCTCTCTTAAAAAAGCTTCCACATGTAAAAATTTGTTTTGTTTTCATTTATTCACAAGTATTTCGAATGCTTCAGATTCAATTTATAAATAAAAAACTGGAATGATGTCAAATAAATTTATCATCCATGGAAGAAGAATATCAAACACGAAAATGAACAGTCAGACGTAAGCGCATAGATTCATCATTATCTAATGTGAAAAAACCTGATGCTAATTTTCACCGAGTAGTTCTTTTGGAATCTTCTAAAGAATACATAGATGTTTTAAATCGATTTGATTCTACAATGAAAAACAATTATTTCGAAATCTTAAAAATTGAACGCATTCAGAATGAGCGTTGGTACAAACAAGTAATTTCGTCGTTTTTATCAAGCTAAACTCAAACCTGTTTATTTAATCAAATTCTTAGTATGCTGTACATCATGATGGATTTACACAACGCTATACACCACCTGATGGACGATTACTTTTCCATGATTGCAGTAGTACATCAGCTGATAAAATTGCACAAGAATGTTTTAATCAAACATTTGCTGGTCTTAATGGTAAGATTAACTTTTCTTTGAACATGAAAGGATCAGTAAGAATACTCTTTGTAGGAACTATCTATGGTAAAGGTGTATATTTTCATGAACATGCGAGATACAGCAACAAGTATGCTAAACCAAATGCTTCCAAGGAACGAACTATATTCTTAGCTCGTATTTAGATTGATAAGACATGTGTTGGAAAATTGTCCATGAAAATACCACCTGAAGGATTTGATACAATTACATAAAACTTTTACTTAATAGGAGATGGGTGTAGGTGGCATGAAGAAGTAAAGCTATATCTGCGGCTCCACCCGCAATGTCACACTAACATCCACACCCTAATAGAAAAAACTCTTTGTACACACAAACGAAAAACAACTTTGCATTGGGTATTTTCATGGACGCAAGAAAGGAACAAAGGTTATTATATCTAAAAGAAAAACATGACTTATAAAACAGAATAAAAAAATTGTTTGCATGGGAATATCACGCCCCTAGTTGTATTCCATTTAATTGTGAACTACAATGGATTATCACTATGTGAACTTCGATAGAGTGTGAGTATTTTATTTATCGATACTCGAATCTACACTCACACCCATAGCCATCCACACCCGCTTTTCCTTTGTCGATTTAATATCTATTTTGGACGAGCATCCGCACAGCGCAACATGCCTTGTCTTCTGCTCACCTGAGATCACGTATCAATAAAGAATTCTTTGATAAAGTAATTTTATGCTTTAGAAATATTTATTTTTTGTTTCGTTTTACAAAACAGGGAAGCCGAATATGTGTTAAAAAAATCTCATAGATGTGGATAGGCAATAAAAAACGATGTAAAAATTTAATAAAAATTGCCATGAAATGATAGAGGAATATGTATGGGAAGATGAGCACGAGCAAGTTCTTTAAATGTAATGCCATCAAGTACAAGTAGAAATGATTTTTTAGCTTGTTGATCTAAAATAACCGATAAAACAACTCCATCATCTTCTTGATCATGATTAGCATCTGGCCTTGGAACAAAAATCGGTTCACTTGGTGATGTACATGCTTCTTCCCATAAACCTACTTGTTCTTTTGATTGAACATCTAATTTAATTAATGCATCGAACAATCGACCAGGTGGTGCACGTAAAGCATATGTATATCGATATGATTTACCAATAAATTTTGGATTAATACGTGGTAATTCAAACTGAACTGGCACAAGACTATGTGCATAACTATAACAATGACTTCCTTTTGGTTCTCGTGCATTTGTATTTGGTTCAATACATATATTTGCATCTAAGTCTAATTCAAATCTTCGAAGATAACCGGCACCTGAAGGAAATATATTTTCACGTAATTTATCCAAAAATAGTTCATTAACAAATTTTGAATCATCAAAAGCGCAAATATCAACAATAATTTTCTTTTTATTATCTTTAACTTGATAAGAATTAATATGATGAAATGCAAAAAATGCTGGACCAGCAATATGTGCTATTTGTTCACCTGTATCTAAACTAATAACACGAAAATAAGTTGGCATTGTCTCACCATGCCATTTAAACATATCGGTTACTGCACCACCACTAATTAAACTCCAAATAGCATAAAATGTATTATAATGTAATGGAATTTCTGTAAGAATCAAATAATCTTCACTAATTGATGCTGAATGCATATAACTTGCATATTCTAATGGAAAACGATATAGTTTTGTACTTGATCTCATTTGACGATTATAATCTTTCGCACGTTCACTTATATTATTTGTTATATGAATAAAACGATCATTACCAGTTAACCATTGATCGACATCGTCATCTTTTATTAAAAAATAAGAATAATTTTCATTAACGGATGCATCAAAAATTTTTATACAAAATGTTTGCTCATTTTTTGTCCATGTAAAAGTATTTCAGAAATGTCAAAACTATATATAGATTCGAACCAGAATTTTGTGCTCTTTCCGAATATAGATTCAACAATTCTTGATCTGTTGCTGCATGAGAGTAGTGAGTCTTTTAAAAACAACTCAATTTACTAATTTTGTATAGCAGGCAATTCTGTATAAAATGTGATCTCGAATTCAAATATAACTTCTTTTACAGAAGTGTAATAATAAGTATTTTCTCAAGCACTACTTTCTACATATAACGTGCTTTGATCAAAAAGTCGGTTTTTCAACAGTGAGGCTGATAATAAGAGACAAGTCACGATACCGCCTTGTCGGAAGACAAAAAATAATTGTAATAGGACATTTTATAGAGTAGATTTCGCTCTACCATCTGATATTTTAACGAAGATTGCATCTTTAGATTTCGGATCCAAATAGTGAAAATATGAAAATGTATGGAAAAATTTTTCGTTGAAAGTATGTTTTTTTTAAAGTCTTTTAAAACTTCTACTACTACTGTCGAAAAAAATCTAAGTAATAAGTTTCGAGCTTCTACTCAGAAAGGACATCAAATTCTGGTTCGAATCCATAGTTTTTGACATTTCTAAAAAACTTTCACATCGGCAAAAAAGGAACAAACATTTTTCCCAAAAACTTTCGATTTATCTGTTATTTAATCTTATTGTTTTTCTTCTAAAAAAATATATATTAAAGAACCTGTTATATCTTTATGTGATGCTTCATCCGATATGAAGATAACGTCAAGCCAATGACCTTTACGTGTAATTCTTATGCTATAACCAACTGTCATTTTACGTCTTTCATCATACATAACATGAGCTGTCGGTATCGACATGATTTCTGAATCAATTGTTTGCGCATAAGGTAAGGATATAAGTGGACCTAATGATTCAAGTGTATTCGGATCAAGAATATTGCCTGTTACTGTTTCCGTAAGTGCTAATAATTCATTGTGTACCATTTGGACCGTAACACTAGAATCATCATTATAAGTTGTTGGATCACGACTACGAAAAAGTGATTGAAATCGACCAAAAATTGATTTATTTGGATCTGTACCAAAGTGTCGTACAACCGTATGACCATTTTTTAGTGCTTCTTTATATGCACGTGATTTAATAAATGAAGCACGAAAATGAACTATTTGTGATGGTCCATCAATATTATATTTTTGAATAAAACCAAAACCATCAAATGCATGTTTAACCGATGTTGTTATATCATTATTTATTTCATTTGCTCCTGCACCATTACGATAAAGTGTACCTTTTAACCATTCTGGAATTTTGCCTTGAAATTCAATGATTTCTTCTTTGATAGTCTCTGTCGTTGGAGCAAATAGATAAAAATTATTCCACACTTGTTCGTTCTCAGTAACAGTTGATGTCATAATCTTCAATGAAAATTTTTTTTTTTGCATTTTACTATTTTATTCGAATTACTATATCAATAAAAAAAATTATATTAATGAAAATAAAATATATCATACTATTGATAAAATATGAGATTATGCTTGTGTTTCACGTTCACATCGTTTGAATTCTCTTTTACCTTCGATTGTAAAAAGTAAACTTTTCAGTGTATTCTTTGGTGAAATAACACTGTCCAGATTATGA